ATATTCATTGTCTTAGTTATGTGCTAATATAACAGAATGTCTGAGATTGGGTAGTTGATAAAGAACAAAACTGTAGTTCTTATTCTTCTGGAGGCTGAAAAGTCCAAGATCAAGTGGCTTACATCTAACCAGGGCCTTCTTGTTATGTCATCTCAGGGCAGAAGGCAGTAGACAAAAAAGAGCCCTAAAAAGAGAGTAGAAGGGGCCCAACTCTTCCCTTCTTCAGGAACCCACTTTTGGAACAGCTAATCTGCTCAGGTGGAAAGGGTGCTAATCCATTCATGATGCAAAGCCTTGTTCGCCTCATCACCTCTTAAAGGCTCCACCTCTCAACACTAATTGCAGTAGGGATTAAATTTTCAACACAGGAACTCTGGGGGACACATACGAACCGTTGCATTTGAACACACACTTCGAAGCAATTTCAGCATTTAGGAGAATGAAGTTATTATTGGGGTTTGAAAGAATACATATTACTATCAGAGCCTTACGTGTTTTCACCTTTCTATATGGAAAGATGGATGTCATCAATTTATTTAGATTTCCCACATATTTTGTTCCCTACATAGATTTCCTGCATTTGCAAATTCATGGCTTTTGTTAATGTCGCTAATCTTTAAAACCTTTTTTCCAGAACAAGCAGTACTTGTGCACTCTACCTTGTTAAAAATAAATAAAACAAAACAAAAGACACGAGCACAGTGGAGAATATGAAATGCACTTGCAAGAATTTGAAACAAATATATTCCCAATTTGAGTATTGTATCATACTTAGAGTCCATGATGATTTATGCCATTTGTTAGACTGGAAATGTCACCCTCCATGTGGGAAGTTGAACTGAGTTCTCAGGAGTTACAGATGATGTGTAGCATCCTTTTATTCTTTCATTGTTCTTCTTCTGTTTTCAGGAGTTGTAATAGAAGCTAGATCTATCATGATAAAACTTTAATACAGAGTTCTGCAAAGCAAGATTGCAGTTTGTAAGGTTTCAGCCCATAAACATTCACCCATAATGTACTGAATTTTCCTATTTGTTCTAACACAATAGGCTCTGGGAATGAGAAGGGTGTAACCCTTTATTAATTAGTAAATTATTGATATCTGTAGTGGTTGTAGTAGTAATTTTAATTGCTCTTTATATAGAAACTTTTTTCTTTTATTTCATTGCAATTTCCATTCCTGTTCAGCTATGCAATAGAGAAACTTGCTGATTTAACCTCAGTAACCACTGAATCCAAAAAAAAAAAGATGATATCTCATAAAATCAGTATTACCTTATTTTGTACATGAATGTAATGTATCTTGATCAAAATGACACAGATATAAGTTTCAGAAATACAGAAAAGCTTGTTGTCTTAATTTAGGTCTTTAACTTGTTCATGTATAATGTGGTGCTGAAAGATCTTAGGACTTTTGTTATCCATGGAGAAAAATTGTCCGAAATTCAATGATGCTTTGTATCAGTTTCCTTATTAATTAAATATCTATTATATATTTATTGACCTATTTATATGTTTTTTTTCCCCTGCAGTCCCTGGATGGCTTTGTATTTGCACTAAATCAAGAAGGAAAATTTTTGTACATTTCTGAAACGGTCTCCATCTACCTAGGCCTCTCACAAGTAAGTTGAACAATTTGGATTTTTGGTGACAGTTGTAAAGGCTGTGTCAGCCTTGTGTTTTTCCTTTTTCAAGGGTTGTTCTGCTTAGTATGAATTATCAAACTTATTATTTAATGGACTCTACCCGACTCTTCTCTCTGTCACTTACAAACCTGTCAGCATTAAATGTTCGGAATAAACTTGTGCTCAGAAACTTTAGTTACCCTCCCCATTCCCCAAGGATCATTATTAATTTATTGAGAACAAATGAAGTTTCTTCCCTCAGTTGTTTTGAACTTTGAAACCTCTGTGCCCGGTAGGAAAGGGACACACTAATAGTGCTTCCCTTGTGTCCTATTACTGGATGTTTATGGAGTACCCTGCATTATCTTGGGAGCTGACACAATGGCAGGAGTCATTTGGAGTCAAGAAATGCTGAAAGAGACCATTAAAATGTGTTGAGTTAGGGTTCTAGCAAAGATATATTTTGCTGCCTTTGCAAATGCTTCCTAATGCTGAAAGATAATTTATAAAATAAGACATCTTTCCATGGTTTGCATTTAATTTTTCACATGTGTTTGTGAGAGGAGAGAAGATGGAGTCTGATGAGGTAAGGGACAAATCCTGGATGATCTTGATATTCCCTTGGAACACAAAAATTTGAGCTCCACTGGATTCCAAGACACAGACTGCATCTATATAGTGCCAGAATATCCTGAAGTAAAGTTTGCCATTCAGCTAATTATCCAGATGTTTTCCCCATGAAAGTACTGAACATCTGGATATTTGTGCCTGTTCAGGTGATTGGCTGAGTTTGACCCTTTTCATCTGGTGGTTTGGAGGAGGAAAACACAGCCTGAATAGGAGGGATTTTGTTGTGTGTGATGATCTGCCAAGTTAGATAATCCACCTCTCATTCCTTGGAGCTAAAGATAGAGATAAGATTCACCTCTCTCTGCTTAAGCACAACCCATCCACACTCCTTGCTTCTGAAGGTTGTCATAGTCCTAAGGTAGCAGCCAGTAGGACTGGAACCCTTTGGCTCTTAGTGAGTTTGCTGGAAAATAGCTAAATTAGGGAAGACACTAGGAAATAATAGAGAGATTTGGCACTCGAGAGGGCTGGCGAAGGAGGAGGATCACTGCCAAATTTGATTATTTACTGTTGAGAATCCAAACAAGGGCTGCGATCGTTAACACTTCCTTAAAGCACACAAATTGCAGTGTATAGAGTAATTCTATTTCATGCGGACTTTAAGAAACCCAGTGATAGAAACCAAGCTATTGTTAACTCTCTGTTAGTATTCTTGTATCACGTTGAAATCTCTGCTTTTGTAGTAGCCTTTAATAGACCTTAAGTCTCATCTTAATCTGTTTGGGACCAAGTATTGAGGATCTCCAATTTTGAAATTGTGCAGTACCATGTTGTTCAGACTGCATACAACTGGAGACGCCACTGTTTGTTGTTCTCCAGTGCCCACATTCATCTGTTTTATGCAGAGTCTCCAACAAAGTTTAATAAGCCAGTAAAGAAGAAGGATGAATAATTAGTTTAAGCAGGTAAATGCTAATTAGGGAACTCCTGAAAAGCATCCATTATATACTAGCTCCAAACACATTTTACAGCCCTGGTTAGTGGTGTAATCCAAATTCTGTCAAGGCAACTGCATTTTCTGTAATTGAGATGTGTATGTTTGCTTTGCATAACAGATGGCTCTGTGTGCTTAGACTGATAGCTAGGAAAATAATAATTGCATTATCCCGGCCAAAAGAATATTAGCTCTTGGGTTTTGGCCATTTCAGTCAGTCCTCCTGCCAGCACAGCATATGCACATATATGGATTGGATTTTCAAGGAAATTGATGCATCTGGAATAGTGTGGCCATCTGAAATATCATCTGTTCAAGAAAAATTTGGCTTTAACCCTGTGCTGGTTTCTCCTTAAAAGCAGTTTGTTTCTCTGCTTCTCTACTGTACCTTAAGTCAATCTTTCTCTAAAATTGGAAACAAATAATTGAGGTTCCTGCAGAATGAAGTAGGTATATAGCAATAGTTTAGTATCTGGCAACTTCTACGCATTCAGCTCCTGTCACATGTAATGGCTTTTCAAGTGTGCACCCATAGTCAGCATCTTGACTCAGTCAGGGCCAGACCTGGCTGCAAGGTGCTGGTGCCTTCCTCTTTGGTGGGTTTGCGGTGTTGGCAGGAGGGGTCCCATGCACAGGGCAAGGCTTTATCTAGCAGCATTCTATAGTAGAGATGAGGGTAAGTTGGAAGAAAGAGATTTTGCATATAGCAATTTAGTAAAAAGCTGAAGGTTAAAGATAGTTCTAGGTTCATATGAAAATAACTTGACATATTTTTTGAATGTCTAAAGCATGAAGGAAAAAGTCTATGTTGAAAATTGAGGAAAGAATTTCCAAGCCATTAAGGTCATAAGTTGTAATAGGGAAATTCAGGTCCCTGAGTTTTAACCTTTCCTGAGTTTCTTCAATCTTCTTTTGCAGTTATGGAGGTTACACAGCACTCAAGGGAGAAAAAGAAAACATACTCCAAGTTATTCTGTTGCTCCTTTGCTCTTCTATCCCTCTACCCTTAATTAAATGTGGACCAAATGTTCTGCTTGTGTTCTATAACTTTGCCTAAGTGGTTATTCCATCACATTATAGATAGTGACAAGGAGTCTATAAAACAGTAGCCCCTGCTTTCCTTTATAGTTTTTTAAAAAAATAACAACATGAAGGGCCGGCAGTTTAGCTCAGCAGTTCGGTGACCTGCCTTGCAAGTGCAAGGACCCGAGTTCAATCCCCGGTACAGAAAAAAACACAACATGTGACTCTCTTGGCAGTCTTACCCTGTGAAATACTGAGGAGTATTGTAAGCTTGTCAGTTTCTTAGTGAGAGCATGGCTGCATCTGCATTTCTGACTCTCAAGATAGTCCTTCCTCAGTTTTATTTTCTTTTGACATGTAAGTAAATATGTTGGCTTTAAAGTGGCTTATGCTCAGGAAAGAACTAGGATTCTTTTTGGCTCATGAGCTAACCAAGTAGGGAAACTTCTCCTGGGCTCTGAGGTGGAGCCTGGGTGAGAGATGCAGCCCCTGGGTGTAAAGCGGTTGGTGTCATTGTTGTTGGGGTGTGGGCACTGTTGCTCCCCTCACAGTGTCCTCCTGTTATGGTGATGAAAGAAATGGGTCGAGCAATGATGAGAGATCTGAATCTCCACAGCAGTCCTTTGACTTTGCCAGAAAGCAAGATGTGTGGACAGACAGATAGATACTTAACTCAAGGAGGGGCACTAAGTTGTAGAGTTATGTACTATGGACTTGGTTTTCTAGGTAAAAACGGTTTGCAGTTACCATGAGGCCCTCTCGGTTAACCAGAGGATAAAAATGGACTCACGTCTTCTGAAAACATTTTTCTTTGGGAGATTAGAATTAATGATTCCAGCTCACATCTACGCCAGCAGTGTTTTTCCAGTTAACATAAAATCCTTTTTCCTACAAAATGGAATCTAGAGCAAATTGAGAAATTAGCACTTTTTTTTTTTTACCGTTGTTACATCACTGAAAAATCCCCTACGTACCAGTTGAAGCCTCTCTTGAAATGTGTTCTAATCACACCCACTGCCACAATTGCCTGCCTGTATTGTGTAATGAGTCCCTTCCCTTCTCACTTCATATCGGATATTTCCTGGTGATTGCAAGCCAGCCAAAAGGTGGCTAAAGACCAGGTTACAAATTGGCTAGTTTAAAGGCAGCTTGCTGAAAGGACCAGGTTAGCCATAGATGTAATGTGGGCTAAAAGAGGTGAAGGTGAAAGGGGGTAAATGGTTGTTTTAAATGTGGTCCTTTTTTCTTTTAATCCATGCAGATATATTTACCAGAAACTCCTTTCCCCCGTCCTGTTGTTCGTCTCCATATTTTAGATTTCTCTGCATTTGTTATATAGAATGGCAAATAAAATTACAGCTACAGCACACAAGTACAAGGTCAAATAAATGACAGAGCTCAGTCTATTTGTGAAGCTATTCTGAAAGGGAACCATGGTGCCAAATGTGGTTTATTTGAATAATAAAGAAGAATTAGATTCCCCTGATAACTTGGCTGAGGGCCAATAAATCACTGGAGGTTAAAGATGCTTTGCAACTGCCATGTCTTTCTTTTGCTTTTCCAAAGTGCAAGCCTCAACTCTTCCATTCTCTTATTTTTCAATGCAAATCAAGTTGAGGTTAGTATGTGGTTAATACTCTCATTTCCGTGCTTATAAAAGAATAAAAGGGGTGTGTGTGTGTGTGTGTGTGTGTGTGTGTGTGTATGTGTATACTTTTCCTGTTGTAGGGTGAGAAAAAGAAGACATTAGCTTTCCTTGGAAGTTATTACTCTTTCTTGGCATTATCACGTCCTGGAGAGCTGGAATATAAGGGCAAAAAAGTATTATTATTTCAGCACAGCAGAGGGCTTGCAATGATCGAAACAAGTGTTAGCTTTATAATACTTGGTTTTCTAAATGTATGCAACACTAGGATAATTGGGGTTCCTTTTCTAAATAGATGCAAATATTGCTTTATGCCCCACCCCGAAAGCTTTCCAGATAATCACAGCTTAAGTTTTTAAAAAAGCAAAAAATGTACAATTTTATGCAGCTTGTGTTTTCCCCCTCCCACCATAAGTCTGCATTTTTCTCTGGTACTAATCATAAAAAGTTCATCACTTCTGGATGTAACAAAGAAAAATGCCCTTTTGAATGTGGAAGCTCTGAGGGTTTGGAGACTATTGAGAAAATATAAGTATCAAAATAATTCAGAAACAGTACAAGGCACAGTGGCACATTATCAATTTACAACATTTAAATTGATAAATGCTTGGTGGTGAAGGCCTACAAGGGCACTTTGAAAAGCAAATAGCGACCTGGTGAAGAAATTGATTTTCCCCCCCGAAAATGACTGCATGATGCATCATTTGACTGCATGCTGTCCGAGTGCTTGACAGAGATAATCTCAGCAATCCCACGGGTGACCTT